TTGACACAGTGACACATTCAGATAAGGAACCAGTACATAAACTTATTTTTTTTTAACCGTGGGTCTATGAATAAGAAACTATATAGTTGTTGTAAACCTCTAGGCATTTAGAGTTAAGTTTTACTCAGTTCTGTTACATTTGAAATATTACTTGAATTTTCACTGATTTTTTAATTTAAAACTTTATTCTTAATTACGACTCATGATTTACCAAGTTGTTCATAATATAGTTACTTCAGGCATTCAGTTTTCAACACCATTCCCACCATCTGTGTGTCTTTCTCTCCATCAGTGTCTCCAATTTCCCATCCATCACCCAAGCCTGCCTTCTTAGCAGGCACAAACAAATTTCCTTCCTATTACTTATTACAACAGAAAAGTGTTGTAATAAGTGTGCTGACCCTCAGCACTGATGACCTGAAATAAGGAGCCAATTCCAATGCTACTTGTGACTGATTATCACAGACACAGACTACTGATTGACAGCAAAAGGATATGTTTATTGAAGGTAAGAAAATGATTATATAGAAACAAAAGAAATGCAGTATGTGCAGGACTAGAGCATATGGTAAGGGAAGATGAAAGGGAAAACTAATGAAAAGGAAAACTGTGGGTTACATGGGCTGTGTAGTTTCTGGTGAAATATGTACCCAGAGTCTCTAAGTTCTCTCAGGAACAAAGCCTATACTCATTTAAAGGTTTCATACAGCAAAGGTTTCATTGGTCCCAAGCACGGCCAATGATAAATTATTAATCTTTAATTAATTTATATTTTTCTCCCAGAAACATTAGGTCCCTGGCTTCAGTCTGTTGCCAGTCTTTGGTCTCAGTATCCAAGTTTTTGCCTCTCCGATTCCTTGGAGTGTTCTCATAGGAGGCTGAGGAGCTGCGATGGCAGGAACTCCAACGCAAAGAGAAATGAAATTATCAAAAATAGATCAATAAAATCAACTTGTGATAATTGTTATATCTCACAATGGTGTTACTGAAGTTATGGTCTGAGTCTTTACTGGACTGGGGGCCCAGTCACAGGATGAGTATTATTCTCTTGTATTATTGGTTTTGCTCATGGAGCTTGGTGTTCTTCTGGGCAACTTTACCATCAGATTTTCTGTGGTCCTACTGGGCTGACGGTACTTTGAAATTTGGAGGTGTTTGTGGCCAAGACCTCTGGGAGCTATAGAACTAGAACTATTTGTGTTTTGATGAGGTTTAGCTGGGGAGCTTGGCCAACTCCATGTCAGAGAGAGCCTAGTGTATCTGGGGGCTGCTGGACCTTCAGGCAAAAAGAAGATTCTGCTTGCCCCTCATCCAAGAAGGCACTGAGGACTCAGCTTCTTGTTCTTCTCAAGACTACTTGGGGTGTTTGTCTGTTTCTATGCCAGGAACTGTGGGATGTGACTGGGGCTGCTGTATGTTACATCAGAAAGAGGAATCTCCCATCCCATTACAAGAATGCCCCATAGTTTTCAGACCATAGACCTGTCCAACCTGGGGAGATTCAGTTGCTTCTCATTCTTTTTCTGAGATTTCATTTTGCCCATTATTTGTTTCACATTTCTGTGTTTCCTCATTGTATTTAAAACTGCTATGTGTTGAGTTGGTCCGCTGTATTCTATTGGCTTGCTTTTTAGGTTTTATGTGGAATTTGTAGGCTAAAGGAATAGGCTAAGGATATTTATCCATAATGTTGAGATGGCCTTATTTGCAGACACTCCTGAACATGTCTTCATTATAGGTATAGTGTCAATGAAGGAATGATATCAAAACAGTAGAGAGGTCTCTATAGGAGAGTAGCATAAATTCTCAGCTGAGGGATGAGAGTGAGCTCTTTAGCTTCCCTCTCCTTAGGCAGCTCTATGGTTCATGCTTTCCCAGCCACTTCAAGTTATCAGTAATCACTCATCTTTGGTCCGATTCTGATCTGAAGGTTTTTCTACCCAGGTCTTTTTAGAGGGTTAAGACAGGAAGAGATATTGGGGCTGGAGAGATAGCACAGTGGATAGAGAGTTTGCCTTGCATGTGGCTGATTGTGGTTCCATTCCCAGAATACCATATGGCTCCCTGAGCACTGCCAGGAGTAACTCCTGAGTGCAGCGCCAGGAGGAACCCCTGTGCATCACCAGGTGTGACCCAAAAAAGCCAAAAATAAAAGACAGGAAGAGATTTAGGAGATACACACTTAAGATGTCAGTCAGCAGCATACTCAAGAGCAATAACAATGGGGATACAGTGAAGAGATTCTTGAAGTCTACAGCTAGCATATTTTTTGGGCTTTTGCAGGGAGAGCAGAGCATCATATCAGGTTATTCTCAGGGGTTACTCTTGGCATTGCTCTGGGGACTATATGGGGTTCTAGGGATGAAATGGAGGTTGACTACATCTAAGGTAAATCCCTCACCCACTGTACTATAGCTCCATCCCCTATCACATTATTTAAGTCTTTTAGAAGTTGCATTTACTTTAGTATTCTAGATCAGTGTTTCACAAACTTTTTAACACCTCTGAACTAGCACCTCTGCTGCAAGCAGACCTATCGCCTGTCAGTACTTTCCATTTACTACCATGATGGTAGAATGGTGGATTCAGCCTTTCCTTACCTGTGGACAGGTTCATTGAGTGGTGATTAAATAATGCTGCTCTAGACCTTGAAGGACAGGAATCACTGTGGATGAATATAGTCCCAGTAATCAGTATGGGCATGGATACAACATGTGATCTGCTTAACAAAGGACTTGATGCAGAGATGAGATTTTTCTTATGAGTAGTCAACAGTGGAGTTTGTTCAGCACTTAGCACTGTCCTCCCGTTGTTCACTGATTTGCTCGAGCGGCCCAGTAACATCTCCATTGTGAGACTTGTTACTGTGTTTGGCATATCGAATACAACACGGGTAGCTTACCAGGCTTTGCCATGCGGGCGGAAGAATTGAACCCGGGTTGGACGAGTTCCCACCAAATTCTAAATCCATCTCCACCAACTTGATCTCTACCTGCCTACACTTGGGATCATTTGATCACTTGATCACTTGACTTCCCGTTACTCATCAATTCAATCGAGGGAGTACCAGTAACGTCTCCATTCATCTCTGTCACGTGCTAGTGTAGCCCAATGGCTTCTGTTCGTTCTTGGAATATGAACAGCCTCAAACCAATTGTTCAGGGTCTTGATGAAGAAGTCTGACCATCTTGTAGGTGGGCGGCCACATGGTCTTTTGACGTCCCATGGAATCCAGTCGGTAGTGTCTCTACTCCAGGGTTGTCTCCAAATCTCATTATGTGTCCAGCCCCTCTGATTTTTGACGCCTTGGCAATCGAGACAGTGTCCCTGATTCTTGACCTTTGACGCATGTCGGAACTCGGGATTCTTTTTCTCATTTGAGTAAAATGTGATACTCCAAGCATAGCTCTTTCAATTCCTCTTTAGGAGACCCAAATAGCGTTCTCATCCTGTTTTCATAGGGCCCAGGTCTCTGAGGCGTATGTTAATGCAGGAAGAACAGTGGAATCAAAGAGATGTTCCCAGAGCCAGAGGTTCTTCGTTCTCTTAGCTATTTCTTTGACATTCTTGAAGACATTCCAAACTGCTCTCTTCCTCCTGCACAACTCAGGTGCCAGTTCATTCGTTATGTTGACTTCTTGACCTAGGTACACCTAACTGTTGTATTCGGAGATGGTGTTCTGTTGAGAGCGAATGGAATGTCAGGAACGAGACTGTTTCTCATAAACATTGTCTTCATGAGATTCAGCTGGAGTCTGACCTTTCCACACTCACGGTCGAAGTTGGCTAGCATTTGTGCCACTTGGCTAATGTTTGGTGTTATTAGAACGATGTCATCAGCAAAGCGGAGGTGGTTTAGTTGCCAACCATCTATCTTCACCCCATTCCTTCTCATTCCAGTTGTCGCATGATGTTCTCGAGGGTGGCACTGAAGAGTTTCGGTGAAATGGCATCACCCTGCCGAACCCCTATCTTGACATGGATGATCACTTCTTTGTAGAATGGCGAGATCCTGGTAGTGAATCCATAATACAATTAATGGAAGATCCTTATGTATTGGGCTTGAATGCCCTGATTGGCTAGGGCTTCAATTACTGCTTCTGTCTCAACAGAATCAAAGGCCTTCTTAAAATCAATGAACGTTAGACAGAGCGGCATCTTGAACTCCCGAGAAACCTCAATGAGCTTGGTTATCATCTGGATATGTTCGATCGTGCTGAATCCTTTGCAGAACCCGAATTGCTTGCATAGTTGTCCTTTATGTAGTGTTCTGCCAATCCTATTTAGGATGACTCGAGTGAACAGCTTGTAGATGACAAACAATAGGCTGATTGGGCCTGGGGATAATAAGATAAATTGTCAGCTATCACCCTGGCTATGCTCTATGCTAACAAACACATAAATACATCCTAAGGCTTCAGGTACCTCCTAGAGAAGGGATTTGTGGAGTTGTCCCCCTTAATATTGACTCATTGGCTATTTGCTGGTGATTTGGCTTCCACCATTGTTGTAGAACATCTGTTTTTACTCTAGCACTGAGCCATGGAGTTTGCTCTCTGGTATCTCTATTCTCTATAATTCTCTATAGAAATAAAGCCTCCAATTATATAACTCACTGTGACTCGAGATGCAACTTACCTCCTTGCAAATCAAGGTATTCTGGAGACACATAAATAATATTATTTACGCTTACTGTGACTGTTCCAAAGTCTTCCACAGTCTCTCTCTATGGGGCCATTGATCTTCCAAACAACTGGTCACTTTTCAGAACTGAAATTTCACTTTGTTGATAAATCCCTTGAGATATTGGAAGAAAACATGTAGCATCTTGACTCATCTACTATTTTTCTGCTGAAGGCTTCATAATGCATTGTTTTCATTGCACTTTTATTATAAAGCTTAAGCAATGGGTTAAGTTCTGTAATCATTCCTCCCTGTTGAATAGATCGCAGCAGCATATATTGAGGATATTTCAATTAGCCTTCTAAACTTTTCTTTAGACAGACTGGGTGACCATGTCAGCTCGAGCTGCCTTCTTATATACTGCTTTTATGAAACCCACAGCCACTCTGTTCAATGCCATCAATAGTAAAGAAACTCCAAAGATAGCCAGAGTAGTTTTCAATATACTTAAACTTGCCTGAATCATATCAACTCTGTCAAGGATCCCATCATATCAAGAAATCCAGGACCTCTTCCTGATTCCCACAGAATGACCATAAATCTCAACTTTGTTTTAGCAATCCTTTATTAATACTAAAATCATGCTCTGAGTGAAGACTGACTATTTAAAGAAGACATGTGACACGTGAAAATATGTTCTGTCCACTAATGTGTGTGCACACAACTTTGAGTCTCCCCACCCCTAAATGTTTAGACATCACTTGATTCTTACTTGCAAAAGATTTTCCCAGAATTATTCAGGGGAACAACTAAAAACACAGGTTCCTTGTTAATTGATATAACTAAAACCAAAATATTTTCAGTTCACATTTGCTTGAAACAATATTTTTAATGTTGGAGATACACTCCTTCATCTCTGACAAATGATGAATAACAAAGAAGAATCTGGTGTCCTGCACAGAAGGGCCTATGAACTTATCTTTGATAATTTCCTTATTTAAGAGCATTTTGAATGAAAAAACACAGGCTCATTTATAATCATTAAATAAACAAGGAAGTCTGAAATGTCCCAGTGGAGCATCAATATTTGCCTGAGGTCCCATGAGGAGACCACAAAAGGGGTGATGGGTCATGTTTCTAAGGAGAAATGTAGTGGACTAGATAGTGTGGAAAAGGAGTTATCTTACAATCACAAAGCCCTATACTGGTGTGTCTGAGCCTTTCTATAGCGGTAGATTCGAGACCTGAAGTGTCTAGGTGTCTATTAGTATAATTGGGAGCAGCCACGTGGGACTTCCTGATGGTCTCTGCTGAACTCTCAAAAGTCAAGATATTCAGGTGCATGGATACCAACACAGGCAACTTGAAGAGATGCTCTATGAGGTCGACCAAGCCAAGCAACCCTACCCGGTAAAGTGTTCCTGTTTCTTCTTCAAATAGAAGTAATCCAACTTCAGGGGTTTACAGCAACCTATTCTCAAGCACTTAAGGTGGGGATAGGTTGCTCAAACAGGACATACAGGATGCAATAGATATGAATAGCCACCTGTCAACAGGAGATTTTTTATATAGTTTAGTTTGCTTTACTTTTAAAAATGAAAACTAAACACTATTCAAATATAAATTCTAAACAGAATTAAACTGGTAAAGCATACATACAAAACATAAGCAATTAACAGTATGGCAAAGTATCTATATTATTCTACAAGTTTGGGGAGAACAAGCTTTAATTAACACACAAGAATCCTGTTGCTTTGATCCTCTGCTCAAAAGGGCTAAGAATAGTGGATAAGGATAAGGAATAAGTGATGATCCATGAAGACTCCTTCTCAAAACTCCTCCACAGACTTCCTTCTTGGGAAATCACAGACACTGAAGTTAGCTACTTTGGGACATAACTAACAACTACGGGTCTGAGAAAAGAAGGTTGGAAACTAAAAAAAAAGACAAGCAATAGTGAATCTTCTCATCAGTGAACACTATAGGGGGAAGTGTGCCATGCCCTCAGAGCAAGCTCTGCAATGAGATGCAGCCCTAGGCCCTGGGGCCCTCTCTAGTGCATGTCACTGAGCTGAAACAACTCAGAAACTCTGCCATGGTCACACTGCTGACTGACCCTGAGGAACTCATTTGCATGACAGCCCCACCTCTACAGGTGGAAGCAGGTATAAGGAGAGCTTGGAGGCTGCTCCTGAGCCGAGGGTGCCTGCACATCATAGGATTGGGTTGTCTAGACCATGGCCTGGGCACCTCTCCTGCTCACATTTCTGGCTCATTGCACAGGTCAGGGGGACTCTCTGGGTTGGTGGGAGAAATTGGCAACGGATGCTCTGCTCCTTTATATCATCTCATTCTAAGCCCTTGGTGTCATATCTGTTTTCAGGGGTCACTTCTCAGAATATGATTCAAGAATCATTACTGTCCACGAATCCTGGGGGTACAGTTACACTCACCTGTGGCTCCAGTACTGGGACTGTCACCACTAGTAATTATGCTGTTTGGGTTCAACAGAAGCCCTACCAGAAGCCCAGGGGTCTAATAGGTGAAACCAGTCATAGGAATCCAGATGTTCCTGCCCGGTTCTCTGGCTCCCTGCTTGGAAACAAGGCAATCCTCACCATCACTGGAGCCAAGGAAGAAGACAAGGCTGAGTATTTTTGTGCTCTGTGGTTCAGCAACCATTTCCACAGTGACAGAGGGAAGGGGGGAAGTGAGACATAAGCCCTGAACTAAGCTTCATCTTTTGCTGCTGAGTACAGTAGGTCCTCTTATGAAGTCATCTAGTTCAAAGTCATCTCTATATTGTATTTTTTTATTTAGGAGTACTGCTATTTATTCAGCCACTGATTAGCTGATTGAATTGTGCATGAACTCCACCTTACTTTTTTTCCATTTTTTATAATTTTATTTATTGAATCACCGTGACAGTAGTTATAAAGCTTTCAGGTCCAAGTCTCGGTCATACAATGAAACACCCACACCTTCACCAGTGCCCATTCTCCACCACCAAAAACCCCAGTATACCCCCATCCCACACCCTCCCGCTATCTATGGGGCAGATGATTTCCACATTACTCTCTCTCAACTTTGATCACATTCAATATTTCGACACCAGATCCTCCATTATTATTTGAGATTTTACCCCAACACTCAGATCTGCTGAAAAGGCAACAGTAGACAATTTGTGTTTTATTGCTGGTTATGAATAACATATGATATTGCGTGGCTGCAGTAGGGCCACGTGATTTTGAAATTCCGAAACTTTAACACTTAAATCTGGAGGGATTTCTGCCAAAAGTCACTGGGTTTCGAGATTTGCTCCTGAGTCTCTGGGATCATGGCCGTTGAGCAACTTGATCAGGAGCCAGAGAGGCTGTTTTTGGGCAATGGCTTGGGGTCTCATTGGGACAGGAAGACCAGGACCGGCTCCACCCCCATTCTGTGAGGCCCAACAAGTTTCGTCACTGCGGGCCCAGACCTGCTTATCTAATGGCCTCTGGAGGATGATGGCCACTGAGCCACCAAGGGGGCAGAGGGACAACACCCTTTCCCCCTGGGGTGTCCCGGCAACAGTAACCTACTGCAGGGTCCGGACGCATTTCTGCCAAAAGCCGCTGGGTTTCAAGATTTGTTTTTGCGTCTCTAGGACCATGGCCATTAAGCAGCTTGATTAGGAGCCAGAGAGGCCGTTCATGGGTGATGACTTGGGGTCTCATTGGGATGGGGAGGACAGGCCCGGCTCTACCCCCATACCATGAGGCTCAAAATGTCTTGTCACTGCAGGCCTAAAGCTGACTGTCCAATTGCCACTGGAGAATGACGGCCACTGAGCCGCCAAGGGGGATCAGGTGGAGGGACAACACCCTTTCCCCCCTGGGATGGCCCGGCAAGAGTAACCTATTGCGGGGTCCAGATGCATTTCTGCCAAAAGCTGCTGGGTTTCGAGATTTGTTTCTGATTCTCTGGGATCAAGGCCATTAGCAGCTTGATCAGGAGCCAGAGAGGCCATTCTTGGCCGATGACTTTGGGGTCTCGTTGGGGTGGGGAGGACAGGCCCGGCTCCTCCCACATCCCGTGAGGTCCAACAAGTTTCGTCACTGCGGGCCTAAGCCTGACTGTCCAATGGCCTCTGGAGGATGATGGCCATTGAGCCTACAAAGGGCACCAGGCGGAGTGAAAACACCCTTTTCTCCCTGGGGTGGCACGGCAACAGTAACATACTGTGGGGTCTGGACACATTTCTGCCAAAAGCCACTGGGTTTCAAGATTTGTTTCTGAGTCTCTGAGATCGTGGCCATTAAGCAGCTTGATCAGGAACCAGAGAGGCCATTCGTGGGTGATGACTTGGGGTCTCGTTGGGGTGGGGAGGACAGGACCAACTGCACCCCCATCCTGTGAGGCCCTGTGTGTCTCATCACTGGGGGCCCAAACCTGACTGTCCAGTGGCTTCTGAAGGATGGCGGCCACTGGGCCACAGGGGGGAACAGGCCAAGCCACGAAACCTATTCCCACCTGGTTGGCCCAGCACCAGTAACCTACTACAGGGACTAGACGCATTTCTGCGAAAAGCCACTGGGTTTCGAGATTTGTTTCTGAGTCTCTAGGATCATGGCCATTAAGCAGTTCAATCAAGAACCAGAGAGGCCATGCCTCCAATTATATAGCTGAGCCAGAGGTGGTTTGTGGGTGTGTTTCCCACATACCTAACCTTTGGCTATTTACTTTCTTGGTGGGGCTGGAGTGATAGCACAGCGGGTAGGGCGTTTGCCTTGCATGCAGCCAACATGGCCGACCCAAGTTCTATTCCTCCGCCCCTCTTGGAGAGTCTGGCAAGCTGCCGAGAGTATCTTGCCCGCATGGCAAAGCCTGGCAAGCTACCTGTGATGTATTCGATATGCCAAACACAGTAAGAAAAAGTCTGATGATGGAGACATTACTGGGCCCGCTCGAGCAAATCAATGAACAATGGGAGGACAGTGACAGTGACAGTGACTTTCTTGGTAAACTTTGCCCTGAGTTTTTGGGGTCTGGCCAAAGGCACAGCAGCAATTTTGGGGTACCTGGAAGTCTGAAGGTGCCATCAGGCTGCTGACGAACTCTCCTCACAGGTACAGATTGACCTGCTGGTGGCTCCATACCCCCGTCTCTATATTGTTGATGAAAAATAACAACTCTTCATGCAAACTTTCAAATAAACAAAGTTATTCCAGGTCTTGATCAATTCCTTCACTTAAATACTGGTGTCCTAGGACCTGGCATCTCATTAAGTTTGGATATACTCTCTTTCTTTTTGTTTTTGTATACAAGCTTATCACAGGGTTTAGGAATTTACCAGGCATGCACAGGTAATGTTATTCGGGTAAAGTCAATTATATTTCCTCCATACATAGCATCACTAACAGTGTTCATTCTTATTAAGAGAAAGGAATAAAAGAATATTTTATGTATTTATAACATCACTGAAAACCATTTTATACAGTGTACGTGTTGCTCTAAATTAAAATACATTAAATATAACATAATCAGATGGAATATTTAAACATTAAAAGGTAAAGGTAAAGGCCCTCCCGTTGATCGTCGATTTGCTCGAGCGGGCCCAGTAACGTCTCCATTGGAGACTTTGTTGTTACTGTGTCTGGCATATCGAATACTCTCGGTAGCTTGCCGGGCTCTCCGAGAGGGGCGGAGGAATCGAACTCGGGTCGGCCATGTTGGCCGCTTGTAAGGCGAACACCCTACCGCTGTGCTATCGCTCCATTCCAATTATATTATGTCATCATTAAAGTTCAGAAAATCATTGAAAAATACTTATAAAATAAATGATCATTTGCTCTGAAAAATTACAAACAACATTGTGAATTGAGGACGTTACCACAGGACACTGATACTTTAGATTTTGGGGTTTTGATTTTTTGTTTTGTTTTGTTTTGTTTTGGCTGTCACACCCAGCAATGCTTAGGGGTTACTGCTAGCTGTGCACTCAGGAATTACTCCTTATGTTCTGAAAGATGACACTTGATGTTTCTTTGGATGAAATCAGTAGAGTGGGATGTATACACTTTATCAATATAATTGCCTACCACCGGGATTTTTGAAATGTAATTTAGAACATTTGTTTTAACATTTAAAGTTATAGATTAGTCAGAGATCTAGCTCAATGGGTTATATCCATTCTTTTCATGCCAGAAAGATTGGTAAATTCTTCAGAATTGCATGTTCTTTGAGCCTTCCAGAGATGACTTCCAAGCACATGGTCAGTACTGCCCCCAAATCCAAACAAAAATAAAGTTATAGGTATATAAATTTAATTCTTTTGAAAATTATTTGAGTATTTAGTATTGTATTTTTTATATTCAAAAATATGTTATTTTCTTTTACAAATGTTATGAAAAATTTTTTTGTTTGATTTTGAGCCACACTCACTAGTGCTCAGGGATCTGCACAAGATCACTCCTGTTGACATCAGAGACCATATGAAATGCCAGAGATTAGAGTTGGGGTTGGCCACATTCAGGAAATGGTTTAAAGTACAGAATCATCTAGCAGAAACCAGGAAGCCCTATGTAACATCTCCTGAGCTAGCACACTGACTCAGACAAAAGCCAAGGTTACGGATTATTTTTCTGGATCTGAGGATGTCTGTATCACTACTCCAGACCCTTAAGAAAAAACATTGAAATTAAAGATAAGATAAAGATAAAGGCCCTCCCGTTGATCGTCGATTTGCTCGAGCGGGCCCAGTAACGTCTCCATTGGAGACTTTGTTGTTACTGTGTCTGGCATATCGAATACTCTCGGTAGCTTGCCGGGCTCTCCGAGAGGGGCGGAGGAATCGAACTCGGGTCGGCCATGTTGGCCGCTTGTAAGGCGAACGCCCTACCGCTGTGCTATCGCTCCAGCCCTTCGACTATTTAATCTTGAGAGTTTGAAAGAATCCATATTAGGGCATCAAATTTTTGTGTGCTTCAGCTAACTTGAAACATTGCTTTCTGTAAAACTGCTTGGCTGCTTTGCACCTGGGGGGGGTGGGGGGGTGGGACTTGGAATGTGAACAGGGCATAACTTCTTTCTAAACCAAGTGTGACAGGATTCAGGTGTATTTACTGTTCCTGAAATGTATTGTCTCAGTAAAGCACCCTGCAGACTTGGGTAAAGTATAACTCAGGATGTGGGTAGATTGCCCATTCCGGGAATGTATTGTCTTAGCAAAGACCCCTGCAGATGTCTTGGGTAAAGGATAACTCAAAATGTGGATGGTAGAGGGAGATTACCTAAGGCTTAATGATTCTGGCTATAACCTTGCTTGTGCTGGCAATCAATGTACGTAAATGCTGATCTTTGAATCTATAGGCTAAGGAGTGAGGTACTTTTAAATGGATTGGTTAAGAAAGTATATGTTGTTACAAATCTATTTGCTATGAAATGTGCAGGCCTTGCTGTAACGGCCAGTGAAGGCCTATATAAGACCTCCTTTGAAGAAGCTCGGGGCTCTCAGCCACTGCCCACTCTGGGGTATGCTGTGGAGCCCCAGCATGCTGGTCTAAATAAACCCTGTTTGTACTCCTGCAGGAATTGTGTCTGTCTGGTCTCTCCGCCCCTCCCAGGGCCAGGGGACTCTGATCCCAACATTTGGAGTTTCCAGGGAGATTTCCGAGACCCTGCCCCAGGGACGCC